ACGGAGGATCGTGCATCATACGTATATAAAAGTTCTCTTGATCATTTTATACAAGTCTCAAATTTTGTCTTCCCTATTAAGGTTTGGGACTTTCAGTAATACTAGCAAGTAATGACAATCACCTGGAAACCCTAAGCAGTTGGCTTAGGTCAGTTGAACGAAGCCAGTCCTCTCAATGGAAGCGCTGTTGGCGAGCATCAGTGGATGGTTGGGCTGCCTCTACCTTCCACTCATTGTGTGATAAGAAAGGGCTAACAGTGACCATTATCCGCGTGGGAAGATACATCTTTGGTGGATACGCCGGCAGTGGATGGACCTCGCGTGAGTGAATCATCGATCGCTTTCATTTTCCTTTCACCCTCCGCCGAGAAAGATGTCTATATTTAATTTATGAAACTGCACGCCGTTAATTATTGTTCGGGAACTCACGAAAGGGACTTTTATTTAAAAGCCCCTCTTCTGAAATAACTTGAACCCGGAGATAGATTTTGTTAAAGATTTCATGTTGTCTGATTATCTTATTGGAATTGTTCTATTTTGACAAAAGATCGTGCCCGATTAGATACAACTGTTCCCTGTATTTACGCAACAATTCCTTCAGTTGTAGGAATGGCTCCAATCATCCGTGCTGTAGAATTTTCTGTTCTATAGCTCTTTGTTTTACCGTGGTTGTTACCTAAAAGTACGTTTCTTGTTCGTTTTGAATGCTTCTATGGCCTACCATCACGAATATTCACTTTTACCTCTCATACTGAAATAGTTCGTATTTCTTTTTTATCATTTTGTTTATTAGCTTCCAGTTGTACATCCCAACACAGTCGAAGCACCTTTTTGTTCTCATTGGTTAACAAGCCAGGCTGGGGACCAGTGAAACTGTCTCAAACAGGAAAGTATGGTTCTCATGGTAACTCCATACTTACTTGTTCTAGCTATGCACCCACATTTGGTGGAGGATACGATATTTACATTGCCAACTACGCCTCATCCAATACACAGTCCTTCGCAAACCTTGGATACACCTACAGTCCACCATCTGGCCACAGTTATGGCAGCTCCTTCACCCGATCATTCCTGGCAGGAAGTTACAAATTTCAACCTGATGAAGTTGAAGTGTTTTATGAAACTACTTGAAACAAACGAACTGAAGTAACGGTGATATTCTAAATTCCCTATTCACTGACAATCGAG